GCTCTTTGAATCCCTAATGCGCTTTACAACCACCCCCTCTAGTCAGGCACCAAAGCCACCGAGCACCACCGATTGTACCCACCTTCAGGGCAGCCGTCGTAAAAAAATCCGGTCCGGCTAATTTTTCGTGCTTTGAGCTGCTTTAAAGGGATCCGGAAGGCAAGGATTGAACCTGCAAAATAGCAAATGTTGAAAATCGGATTGTTTTTCCTCCTAGCGCCCTTAAAGCGTTGCAAGGCTCAATCTTCATGTCCTTAAGCTTTGATGGGCGATGGAATGAGGCAGCGTAACCTAGTCCAGGTCTAAGCCTAAGCCTAAGCCAAACCCTAAGTCCAACAAGACTCGACCCCTGCTCAAAAATCTGATTTTCCTCCACCACTCCGTCCCCTCTCTGTCCCGATTGGCCTATCCACCAACACAATAGCAATCCAATCCACCCCATCCACTGTCAACTCCATATTCCCATCTCGTGAGTTACCCCCGAATGGTGCCCCCAGGTCATCCTACCCAGGGGGAATTGGCATACTACGTGGCGGCGGTGAGATGCTTGTGTATATGGTGTAGACTAACCCCGCTTCTCTGCCCCCTCTATTGATGCCTCTCGTTCTCTCGCCCCTGGGGGGTTCGACTCATAATCCCGTCGCCCCAGGGTACGAATGAGGGGTGGGTCGGTGCTTCGGGAGGGGTTTTAGAGCCCCGGGGTATGCATTGGAGGATTTGAAGGAATTTTGGAGAAATTTTGGAATATTTCTGATATTTTCCGATGCACGACTTGTGCCACCGTTGGCTTGCGCTTACCTGTTAGCTTTTTATTTACCTTAGGCTTGGGCTGCAGGCTTAAGCTCTAACCTTGGGCTTTCATTAGGCTGTGGAGCTTACGCATCGGTCTTTCGGCTCAGGGTGAGGCTTGGCCCAGGCTTAGCCTTGGGCTTAGATTAGGCTTAGGCTTAAGCTTCGGGTCCAACCTCAGCTTGGGCTTAGGCCTTAGGTTAGCTAATGCTTAGCTTAGTTTGTGCTTAGACTAGGCTTAACTTGGGCTTAGGTCTAGGCTTAGGCTTAGACATAGGCTTGGGCTCCGTATTCTTTCGTACCCAAAATCCTCGAATTTTCAGCTATTCAACGGCCCTCTCCACGATCCCATCCCACCTCATAATTTCCTCCGAAAATTGTGCGTGAATGGTGCGCGCGGGAGGGTAGGCCAGCTGCACCACCGGCGAACCCAGGGATTCGCAAACCAACATACTACCCCTGAAGAAGGAAGCGTGAAAGAAAAGGAGGATTGACGTGCGGTTCGGCGCCACCTGGTCATCCCTCATAGCAGCGTCTCCGTTTCCTTACCCCATTGGATTATTTTTGGCTTACAAGATTTTATATGTTGATTTTTCTCCGCATCGGGCATGCTATCCAACGATTTCGCCAGCTTTTTAGTTTTCCCGATTCTGTGTTTCGATGTAGACTTTCCGGTCAACCCCTAAGACACCTGTTCCTCGTTTCGGCGGATTCTGCGGGCAGCGGAGCCAAACTTTTGCGAATCCTCCGCCGGGTTACACTCCATTTTATCGCGGCCACGCATCTTGCGGCCCAGCCAGCCAGGGGGCACAGAGACGCTAATTTGTGGTTTCACAGCCCGGTGGATGGGGTCCTAGATCTTGGTCCTGCACTGAAATAGGAACCTCGCCTAACCTTATGCCCAAAGCCTAAGTCTAAGCCTGGCGAAATTTTTGCGGCGTAAGTCTAAGCCCAGGCTCATTTCTAATTAACTCCCAAAAATTGCAAACCGTCATCATAAGTAGCCTCCCATTACCTCCCCATTTCGTACCCCTCTCCCCCACTTTGCATGTGCAAAGAGTAAGGGGTCTCCTTCGTGGAGGGCCCCACATGCCCCAGTGAGGGGGTGTGATTGAGGATTTCGTTAAAATTGGCAACTCCCCGGCTTCTCCTTCTCAACTAGGGCCCTCTATGTCCCTATAGTCCGTTCCGAGCACGGGACGACGTGGAATCGATGGTCCCGGGTGGATAATTATGCAGCCATTTGTCTCGACGTCAGGGGAGCCGAATTCCTTCGCCCATCAGAAGACCATATCCATTGCATCCGGCAACAATGGCTTCATGTCGTTGGACATGATTATTTCTTCGTCGTACTCGCCTATTTCTGAATGTCTTAAGGTATCGGAATTTTGTGAATTCATTTTTCCGTTCTAGCGGATTGTACCGGACAGTGTTTTCTTTCTTAAATTGAGGTATAACTTTCATCACCTTAGACCAACATTCCTCTTCAAGGTCTTTTTCTATAACCTTTTTAAAAAATCTTAAAAATGCTTTCTTTTTCTTAATCCGTTACTAAAAAAGAGCTTTTGAGGATTTCATTACGTTCCTAGACCCTCTCAGTACTGCTTAATATCTGCTGAAATTTATTTGCATTCCATTACAATCGCCTTTATAATTTTCTTTAATACATACCGAGTGATAAAACATACGTCCAACGCACAGCTGGCCATCTCTCTTTGGTCTTTTCCTTTCATACTCATTTACTTTGACAAATCGGACACTGCACTGCATTGCACGCCCATTAAAAATCTCCAAAATATCGTCGGTTGGACCTTCCTTTAATGTATCCTCATAGCGGTCAAAAATTTACGTCGATGCACACCTGGCGATCCATTTTGGCGCCAAGCAGCTGACGACCATTATGCCATGTTACTCTTTCGGTTCCTCGTTTGCATAGCTGCGCCACGAGTTGAATACCTTTCGGCAAGGGCGCCATTGGTCATTGTCGGCCCGTTTTTTTTGATGTTGGCTGATCCCGGGGCGAGGGAAGGCTAGGGTCTGGAAGCGTGACCCCTACAGTCTGGGGGTCATCATAAGCACCACTACCCTCCTCCTCCCCTGCCCTAACCTGACACCCATATGACCATGCCGACCCTAGCCCTTTGTCTTATCGATTTTGTGTCATGGCAAACGTTTACAAAATCTTAAGAAGGTTGAGGAGCAACAACTTTTGAAAGTATAATTCCTATAATTATACGCATTTTATGCCAAAACCCATGTACTGAGCATTTTTGTGATTTCATCTTCCTTTTTTTCTAGCTTTATCTATCCCTCTCTCTCTCTCTCTCTCGCCTCTCTCTGCTCCCGCCTGTATTAAACGATTGTATGAATATGTAAGACATTCCAGGGCTCTCCCGAAATGTCGGTGATATCCGAAAGGTCGGCACGACAGTACTGACCAAATGGATTCGCCTCAGCTAGGGATAGTGGAAGGTAATTGTTATTGGTAGTATTTGTAAGCTTCTAAATTCCAGAAGAGGTCCCCTGACCTCTCAAACAGCGATATGCCCACAGCGACATTGGCGAGCCGTTCATCCCCCATTTCTCGGTGATCGCCTCTGATGTGAGTTTATGGCAAGATTGGGCGAGAGAGAGAAAGAGAGACAGAGAGAGAAAGCGAGAGAGAGAGAGAGAGAGAGAGAGAGAGAGAAAGAGAGATAACGTGATCTAAGCACCTTTAAAACCCCTCAAATTTAGGGAGGTGTCAAGCAACACCTTACAAGACGACTGGGGCGAGACAACGACCGTCTTAACTGGTGCCACCGTGATATTGACTACGGTATTGATGACCGAAGAGTTTTTGAAGCCCCACCTCCGCGAGTGACTGCAAGGAGGTCAGTACATCAACAAAAATTAGCGTATCTTAAAGGAAACGCTTCAAAACCCGTACTACTGTTTTAAAGCCTATTGCCTAACTTAAGGCTGATTTCAGATGTTCCCGGTTACTGTGGCTTACCTCGGCTGGGATTATCTCACTCGTCTCCGTCTTATCACCCCCTATAATGTCGCTACTTCCCCATTTCTTGAATACAACAGGGTATTCGTGGCCGGATGTGACATGTGAGGTTGGTGAGCTTAGGTATAATCGATTACGGCAGTTAATTCCACATTTTATACCTCAACGAAAATATATTTTGTGTATTTTAGGTGGATTGCCAAGGGAAGCTCGTCCTATTGGCCGTTAAAAGTATCCTACTAGTCGTCGCTTTATGGGCTTTATACTGGCGGAGGGCCGCGGCTGATTTGCCGAGGTATAATGTGGTTTTAATTAAACTTCATGACATTTTTGGGATTTAATATTAGATAATATTTAACGTACAATATTTTTAGGCTCTACTTTGCCCGAGCGGCTTTTGTTTTGCTGTGATGTTCATCTTATTCTCCTTCTGGCTCTTCTATTCCGTTCGGATCATTATGGAACGCTATAATAATTATACGTAAGCCGATTTATACTTCATTAAGCCATCATTATACTAAATTATTTTCATGAATCATATAAACGCGCCCTTTCAGATACATAGTCTCATTTTCCCTGGATCTCCTCGATGCCCTGTTATACACGCATTATATTTCGCTAATCGTACTCTACATCCGACAGCTTCGACCCGAGTTTGTCATTACAGTCACTGAGATCCAGACGGACGGCAGAGCACGCTACTATTGGTAAGCGCTAAATCTTGGGATCATACCGCATTACTTAGGTATGATGTCGCTGCAAGAAGCCGCTATTCACGTGTTGCGACACTATGAGTCCGATTTTCCTACTTACAACTCGTTTTTGGACAAGGTTTGTGATTAGGCTTAGGTTTAGGTTTTGGCTTAGACGTCGGCTTCTGTTTAGCCACAGCACTCAAAGCATTTTTCAGTCTCGCCAATCTGCCGTCAAAAATCGTGTGCCCGGCATTGACACGTCAGATTTAAAGTATACGATATTGAGGGAATGGGCGCGAGTGATAATATAAGCCAGGTCAGTTCATCAAAATCTTTAAAAATCCATTTTAAGGCAATTCTCGAGCCCTTCTGGCGGCAATGGCCCGGCGAAGGAATACGGATATCAGGAGATGCTTCAAGAAGAGATGGACTGGGATCGGAGGCTCAAAAAGCGGAAGTACCGCTTGATCGCTGCTACGGAAGATGCTTTTGCACATGTTCAAGGGATTCAAGGAGCAAATATGAATACGAGCGGGAAGGTGGGCATTAGTTGTGGGAAGAGTTTTGTTATTAACTGCTTAATTGCAAACAAGTTATCTAAGCCATGCACTTTTTCAGCTCCTTGGCGAGCCTATGGACAGTGCAAGTGCTGCTCATCACGTCTTCACCATGATCGTGCGCCCGTTGAATAAATACCTGAGGCTGACGAGGCAACAGCCGAAATTCCCAACCGAAAAGGTAAGTGGTTGTTGAACGTAAAGATGTCGATACCTTATACTACTTAATATTAAGAGTTTAATACGTTTGTTTTTAGGTGATGGGCCACATCGAAAAATGTATCTCGATGCGATTGAACTATCGCACCTTCCTGTCCTATTTCTGGGAGCTCGAGTCCCGCCAGCGGTAAGCAACTATTTTTTAATGGGACCTATACACTTAAAAACCTTTGATATAGTTTTGTATGATATAACTTTTGATTTCAGTCGATAATCCCGGAAGAAAAATGGTCCATCGTTTCTGACGAGCCTCATCGGCGCCGATTTCTTCAAGGATGACGTTTTTGTTGAGGTTTGTAGCCAAAGAAGACTTTCCGTTTTTCCCAAATAAGCAGCAAACAAAGTGAGAGTTTATCCAGAGGAAAGCCTAACCAAATACATTTTTAGAAGCCACGGAAAAGACGACACCGCAGGCGTTCAGCTGATCTGCCAGGTCACTTCGCTTCCGTTTTTCAACCTGACGGAGCAGAATCGGTATCTTAAAAGATCTAAATGGAATCTATCAAATTCTAGTTCACCGATCTCGAAATTCGCCATCAAGCTCAGCTCGGAATCGCCGGTGTAATAAGCTGTCCCCGACGTTTGCGCACATCTCCTCTCTCTCTCGCTCTCCTCATTCTCTCTCTCTTTCTTTCTCTCTCTCTCTCTCCCTTCAAAACCCATCCATGCCTTCCCGACGCCTTCCAAATCGGAGTACTCCCAACAATCCTAAGCCCAAAAATTACCGGTGTGCCTTCAGTTTCTTTTCTCTATTTTATGTACCCTCATATTCGATCTTTCACTTCAATGTTCTCGACTCACTAATCAATTTATGCCGTGTACTGTCAGAATAAATTATACGGTCCGTTAAATGCGACGAAAGAAGGGCAAGTGAGGCGGATATGCACTTTGTACGGGGGTAAAATTGGCACAGAACATTGTTGCTCTGCAAAATTAGACATTCATGACAAAAGTTCCGGTTATCGTCTCTTCGAAGACGTCGGTGTAGCTGATGGTGTATGTAAATTCGGCCTAAGAATTGCATTTTGTAGTTTACTATTTTTTACATTACATAGCGTAACCGATAAAATTCGTACCTCAGTCATCCTCGAGTCCAACGGCAACACCAAAAGTATGGCTCGTTTATGCGGTGTTGAACCCAGCGCCGAAAACGCGTCAATTTCCCTGGCAATCCTTCCACAGTAATCGACAGCTTATTCTCTGAAACCCGTCTTTAGATATTTCTAGCATTACTGATACCCACCATATCGTTCGTGTATACCAGAAACTTGATGTTTTGCACAGGGTGCGTGTTGAAGTTGAGGATCGAGATCAGACCGGCTCTGACGCCTATAAAAGAGAGCAATATAATTTCTGAGATAGGTTTAATCTACCGGTGGTGCCTGGAGGCGAATTCTGGCTGTAGTGGAGCAAGATTTTGACGTTTTTCGTTCCATGATTGAAATTGGCTGTTCGACCGCTGAAAACAATATCTATCCTCTCTCTCTCTCTCTCTCTCTCTCTCTCTCTCTCTCTCTCTCTCTCTCTCTCTCTCTCTCTCTCTCTCTCCCTATCTCTCTCTCGCTAGGGCTAAATCTCAAGTCTAAACCTAAATCCCTCATTCACTCCCACTTACATAATTGCATCTGCTGTTCGGAAAACGATACAGATTCCGGGAGACACCGGACTGGCGATGATAATATCGTCTCCTAAAGTCATTTTAGCATTCCCGAACTGAAACCCACATCAAATTCAGCAGAAGATGCATTGCTAATCGGCTCAAGTGGACTCAAACTCAACGGGGCCACTGATTTGGCTCTGGCTCAACTCGAAGAGGGTCGGCTTTGGTTGATGGAAGCTCAAAGGCGGAGTAAGGTATTTTAATAGAGAGATCCTACCTTGGTGGTGGGGCCTTGGGGCGAAAATGTCATCAAGGGCCGTGAAATCGCTCAAATCTAGGGGCGGCTTTTTCTGGCCGAATTCGGGTTCGAGTCCGGAAGCTCACGGCGGATAGGTTGTGGTGTGTTGTTCTAAAAAAATAGTATTTAGTAGACGCATAAATAACTCGAAAAATATTGCGTTTAGACATCATACAACGTGATTAAACTCTACCGTACTCCCGAATCCGATGAACGGAACGTCTTCTGGAGCACCGATCAGATGATTCGCGGCATCCACGACCCGAGGACAGGGGAAGTTGTCGATAAGGGCTGACGTAGAGGGGGCCGGGGAGAAGGGATACTGTACAGGGTTTGGCAGCGGAATTGGAACATCATCGAACAGATCGACTTGAGTAGTGGAAGGAGCTGTCGAGCTGGATCCTGAATTTTAGATTTAGGTTTTACTCTACTTTTTACGCTTACCCGCCCTTCCTCGCCTTTTTGCCTTCTGTGCCTCATAATCATGTAACAAGCGATTAATCTTAATTATAATAAATCTTATAGCGCAACGGATATCCCCTACAGTATCATTAATTTGCAGGATCTCGGCTAAGGCTTCATCCGAATTTTCGGCCGCGTCGTTCGCGTATTTGAACATGATTGGCCGAAGCTCTGAGAGGTGATCGTGAAGGTCCTAGGGATTTTGAGCTGCTAAAGTACAATTATGTACTACTTACAGCCAGTGAATGTGTCGTAGGCCCTTTCCGCAATGCGGCCTCCATCAAATGACAAAGCTGCACAGTTTGATCCAGGTCATCAGATCGCTTATTCCGTTTTTCGACTTTTTGATCCTCCTAATTGAGTTATTTGTAAGGTGACGGATAATTTCTTACCGTTCTAACCAGATTTTTAATCAATCTATTAGCTGTATGTAGATCTTCGGGGTTTTTACTCTAAAATTTGCAGTTACGATCAACAAATATAATTTTCCCTACCTGCAAAAGTTCCTTCAAAAGCCTGGCTTTTTCCTCGTCCTCAAAGACGGCAAATTTCGGTGGCGGCGCCGGAACTGTCGGCATTTCCACTTCCAAAACTGGATCCGCAGCGATTATACCGCGCTCCTTTAGCGAGTCGTATACCTTAAATTTGATTTTTTTTTCCATAAAAAAGGACCTTTCTTACCTCTTTAAACTTTTCTATATGTGCCATGGAGCTTTGCCAGCTGAACAGCATTTTTGTCGCCTGATCCTTCACCTAAATCTCGCGTATTTTATGGTAGATCTTTACCAACCTTTTCTGGAAGTCTCTTTACCCAGATATTTCGGTGTTAAGAGGCGCACTAATTGATTAAGAAAGCGATATTTCCCGATTCGGGTATGCACTTTCGAGCCGCACCTCCGGACCAGCAGATCAGTGGCCTAAAACTAGTTATTTTTCGTTTTCTTGCAAACCTGAAGTGAGTAAAGGCTCTCATCCTGGTTTGGACTAGCTATTTTATGCCCCAGTTGAGTCACAGCTACTTGTGCGCCTTCGATCTAAATAATTACAAGCCGAATATTTGTGTAATTAGCTACCAACCTCGTAATTAACCTTCTCACATAACTTTTCGGCATATATACGCCTTTCGGCATCTCCCACATAAGGATCAGTGGCCTTGGCTGAAAATTAGCTTCATTTCAAAGCGTTGTATCCCGAAATTCCGATGATTTCTCACAAAACACTTACCAATAAAAACTCGATCGGCTTCTCCTTGAGCTCACCCGCAATAGACATCAAATGGAGAGGCAAATAGTAATAAGTAATCTTTTTAGAGAGAGCTAATTCCTAGGTGTAGATGGCGGGGCGGTAGTCAGGGTTGTGCATGTGAGGCCAGGGAATCAATAGAGCCTGGCCGCCAGGGCCTCACACACTCCTAAAAAGGGGCCCCTCCATTTTGCTAGGGATAAAAGGACTCGCCAAGTGCTAAGGATTTCTTTGCCGGCTTTTTTGAGATTAATGAGCAATTCTTTTCAGAAACTGATGTATTTTCGTTGAAATCTTGCGTTTCAAGTCAGTATCTAAACGTTGTAATCCGCGGAAGAATTCAGTTTTTCTAGAAGCTTATCGTGCTTTCTTTTTCCATGGAGTACTTCCTCTGTGCTCGACATCTTTTACCGGCGATTTTTGAACTTTTGACTTGAGCAACTTCAGCAAAAGATCCATGAAGGCCTGAAGCTAGACGTTACTGCGAGTTCACACACGCTTTTGCAAATCTGACACCAATGTAATCCTAGAATTTCCTTGCCTTCACAAAAACCATCCCAAGAACTAACTGTCGCTTTTGCAGCCACAACTCGAGCTCTCTCGACCTGTCATCGAAAGGGGCGGTGAAGGTATGGTGGTGTGTGTGCGTTGTCGCGCCCACCGACCCCGGGGCTATGGTCAACCAGTCCGGCTGGTCACCCCTCCCCCAGCCCCCTCATTTCCTCAAAGCATCTCTGCTACGCTGCCGTCTCGGCTGGTCCACCCCGGTCTATCCATTCTCTCGTCGCATCCACGTCCTCCCCATTCGCCTTCTCATCCTCCTCCTCGACCCCTCCAATCCCCCTGCCCGCGACCTTGCCCCACTCACATACTTCCTCGTATGGGCCAGCTCAGCCTGCTCTTGCAGTTTTTCGCTGTGTGACCGTCTACTACAGTTCTTCCCCGAAGGGAATTGACCCCATTTTCCGTTCCTAGGGTCACCGCGATTGATCAATTGAAAACTAACAGTATCTGATTCTTTTCTTTACCCTTGCTTCACACGTCCCGTGGATCGAAATTGTTCGAAATAACTCTAAAACTTTAGGTTTTTAGGTTAGATCGGTTTTCATAAGTTATAATTAGTCGATGCTACAGGATTTCGCCCCCGTTCCCTTTACGGATCTGTATTTCTCGTTCGGATGTGCGAAGCGGCAGGCCATAAAAGCCCACCTGTCGCCAAAATCGATCACATCGCCACGCCGGACAACATTCGGGACCGAGACTCGCCCGCACGTTACAACGACGCAAGAAAAATCATTTTTCGCAAGTAAAATGTATCTAACGATTCTCTTCGAAAAGGGCAAAGGCAATAACGACGCAATTCTCCGCTTTTCTCACTTGACTGGCAAAAATTTGAAAGTGTTTGAAAGTCTTCACGAAAGTTTTTGTTTTCTTTCTAGAATGTTCGCGGAAGGCTACGCGAGGATACAAAAGACACCGTAGCCGCTGCTCGATTTCAACGTGTAGCTCTCGCAGCGAAAAATTGTCATTTGTCGCGATCTCCCAACTTCGTCTCGTTTTCTCTTTTGAAACGTTTTCCTTTGTAAATTCCATTTTGCTATGAATTGCGATGCGTGTCTTCCTTTCTTCTCGCGTTTGCATTTTGGGGGCCCCTTTGCCCCGGGGTGCCTAAAATATTCTCGTCTATGTCTCGTCATCACAGGGACTTTGCTGACGCTGCATTATCCCCGCGCCTTTCCCCACCCTTCACTTTTTCATTCCATTCCTTTCCTATTTTTCTAGTTATGTTTTAACTTTCTAACCTTTTCTATTTCAGAACTCACATCTCACCCTCAATCAACGTACGATGCGAACCCTCTGGTCCTCGGGGCTGTCCTGCTCGTTAGCGGACTTGCCCGTGCCGAAGAAGAGAAAAAGGAGGGAAGAGGTTTGCAGTTTCTCATTGTTTTGAAATTATTCTTTCGAAAAAATACGACACTATCATCGGTATTGATTTGGGAACGACCTACTCCTGCGTCGGTGTGTTCAAGAACGGTCGTGGAAATCATCGCCAATGACCAGGGTGAGTACCTTGAATTTACGGTGCAAAATACCAACTAGCTTTCTTCATTTTTCATTTTTGATTTTTAGGTAACCGAATCACCTGTCCTACGTGGCTTTCACTGGCGAGAATGGAGAGCGTCTGATCGGAGACGCCGCCAAGAACCAGCTCACCATCAACCCCGAGAACACAGTCTTCGACGTGAAGCGTCTCGTCGGCCGCGATTACAAGGACAAATCGGTTCAAGAGGATATCAAGCTGTGGCCCTTCAAGGTATATTTTTATCCAATTTCTTGCTCCTCTATCGCGCATTTTTTGTGATGTTTTTGTTTTCCCCGCATACTTTCTTTCAGATCGTCGACAAGAGCAACAAGCCGTACGTGCAGGTGAAGGTCGGCAAGGAGGACAAGCAGTTCACCCCCGAAGAAATCTCCGCCATGGTGCTGATCAAGATGAAGGAGATCGCCGAGAGTTACTTGGGCAAGGAAGTCAAGAACGCCGTCGTCACTGTGCCCGCTTACTTCAACGACGCCCAGCGCCAGGCCACCAAGGACGCCGGAACCATCGCCGGACTCAACGTTGTCCGTATCATCAACGAGCCCACCGCTGCCGCCATTGCCTACGGACTGACAAGAAGGAGGGTAAGAAATTTTGATTGTTTTTTAAAAGTGTCTGGCCGCTGTGGTAATCGATAATCTCTGTCCACGTTGCAATAGCCTAAGGTGGCTGGCGGTACCAGTTTGACTGTACGGGCCCGAGGGGCCTGTTTGCTAAGCGGTCAGCGCAGTGAGTAAACACATTGTCTGCTCGCATTGGTCGCCGGTGCGCGGGTCCCTCGGGCCCTTGGGGGCTAATGACGAAGACAATGAAACAATTTGAAAAAATCATTAAAGTTTTCTGCATCTTCTAAATTTATTTTCAGGTGAGAGGAAACATCCTTGTCTTCGATCTCGGAGGTGGTACTTTCGATGTCTCTATGCTCACCATCGACAATGGCGTTTTTGAGGTTGGAAATATTTGCTTTCTTCAAATAAATTTTAGGTGCTCGCCACCAACGGAGATACTCACTTGGGAGGAGAAGACTTCGACCAGCGCACCATGGAGTACTTCATCAAGCTGTATAAGAAGAAGACTGGAAAGGACATTCGAAAGGATCACCGTGCCGTCCAGAAGCTCCGCCGCGAGGTCGAGAAGGCCAAGCGAGCCCTGTCCACGCAGCACCAAGTCAAGGTATAGCATTTTTACAGTTTCATGTACAATTAATGCTCAGGTCGAGGTCGAGGCCATGTTCGACGGAGAAGATTTCTCGGAAACGCTCACTCGTGCCAAGTTCGAAGAGCTGAACATGGATCTCTTCCGCGCCACCCTCAAGCCGGTCCAGAAGGTTCTCGAGGATTCCGATCTGAAGAAGACTGACGTCCACGAGATTGTCCTCGTCGGAGGCTCTACAAGAATCCCCAAGGTCCAGCAGCTCATCAAGGAATTCTTCAACGGCAAGGAGCCATCGCGTGGCATCAATCCTGATGAGGCCGTCGCCTATGGTGCTGCCGTTCAAGGAGGTGTTATTGCTGGAGACGTGAGTTTATTTCAAGCCTTCTGATTTTATGTATTGTTTAGAGCGGAACCGGCGACATTGTGCTGCTCGACGTCAACCCGCTCACCATGGGTATCGAGACCGTTGGAGGAGTGATGACGAAGCTGATCCCCAGGAACACTGGTATAACTCGGTTTAAAAGTAAAATTGTTTTGTTTAGTTATCCCGACCAAGAAGAGCCAGGTCTTCTCCACGGCCGCCGACAATCAGAACACTGTCACCATCCGCGTCTTCGAAGGTGAACGCCCGATGACCAAGGACAACCACGAGCTCGGAAAGTTCGACCTCACTGGCATCCCTCCGGCCCAGCGCGGAATCCCCCAGATTGAGGTTTGTATTTTTGCCTGCCCTCTAATGATTTGTGTCTTAGGTTACCTTCGAAATTGACGTCAACGGCATTCTCCACGTCACCGCTGAAGACAAGGGCACTGGCAACAAGAACAAGATCACCATCACCAATGATGCCAACAGGTAAAGCTTTACTTTGTTTGTCTAATTTTCTTTTGATTAGGTTGTCGCCCGAAGACATTGAGCGCATGATCAATGATGCCGAGAAGTTCGCCGATGAGGACAAGAAGCTGAAGGAGCAGGTCGAAGCCCGCAACGAGCTCGAGTCGTACGCCTACAGCCTGAAGAACCAGATCGGCGACAAGGAAAGCTCGGCGGCAAGCTTGACGATGACGACAAGAAGACGATCGAGACTGCCGTCGACGAGGCCGATCTCATGGCTCGACGACAACAAGGAGGCTGGCGTCGAGGAGCTGAAGGAAAAGAAGACCGAGCTCGAGGGCAAGGTGCATCCGATCGTCTCCAAGCTGTACAAGGACGGCGAGGGTGGCGGTGCTGAAGCTGGCGGAGAAGCCGAAGAGAAGGATGAAAAGGACGAGTTGTAGTTTGCTGTGATTCCATTCTGTGTCTGTTTCCCTCGCACTACTTCCTCGCTCTGGGTGTGCGCCACTTCGGTGGTGGCTTTTGAAGGGTATTTTTTTGTTTGTGTTTGGGCCCTTTGTTGGCCATTTCGTTTCTAGATAATAAATTTTTCTATGGGTCATCGAATGTGAAATGCAACTTTATTGGAAACGGACAATGAACCCGTATGACAAAGAAGTAATGTTCGGTATTGCTGGGGTAGGAGGGCTTTCAGAAATCATGCTGTCGGTGTTTTCTAGATCTCTCCTTGGCCTGGTCGTATTTTGACTAGCTTTTGTGAAAACGATTGGGGGATCATGTTACCACGCAATAATATCCCCAATACATAATGTTGAAAATGATAAAGGTGGCTGGGAACACCCATCGGCTCTTCTGGTCGATCTTCTTCGCGCGATTCCGCCCGGCCATCTTCCTGAAAAGTTGTCGTTTCAAAGGTTGCTACCCTCCTAGCGATTCTAGCACACGGCACTCGTTTGTCAATAGCCAGCCTGCTATGAAAAAAGCGAAGGGGTTATTCCTTGGGGACAAGCAAACCGAAAAAGAATATAATAAGCCTCAGCGGATCGGGGGGCCAATGATAAAATTCTAATAAAGTGAGGAGCTTCGAAAAAGCTAGCACGGCCAGGGCACCTGTCATGGGTTATTAAGCGGCTCAGTTGGATATTGGGCAACAGGCTGGGACGCCTGCAAATAGACGGCTGCTTTCCAAGATGAAAATCATAATTTTTAGGGCGCTGATGCGTGATTGGGGCCCCTCTAAAACGTACTTGTGTTTTTGGAGCTGTTTGATGGTGTTTGTCCATTTGTCGCCTTTCTTTTCCTTGTTGGGCTCCTTGTTTTCGGCCGTCGAGCCGTAGGTTGTTGCTGAAATTCAGGGGTAATCTTTGATACCGTAAAAGATAGGATAATCAAGGTAAAACCAACATTTTGAGTTGTTTGCTGTCAGCCCGTTGTGTGCAGCGACGCCATTTGGGACAAGACGGCTCCAGACGGATGGTGATCGCTTGCAAAGTTGGCCAGTTGAGTCGTCAAACGCCGCCCAATTTGCTAATCGTTCGGCCTGGAATATTACTGTATTATTTATGCTTTAATATGTATAATAAATCTAATAAACTAACCTTTTCGGCCTCCTTATCCTTCCACAACTCATTAGCCGCAGTTCGTGGGGAATCAATGTTATTCTCAGCCACCTAAACTTCATCGGCTGCCTTTTTCAACGATCTTGGATAATATTTTGGTTAGTACAACGTAGTCGCAAACGATAGTATCATTTTTACGGCCATAAAAGTCGAATTTTGTGAATGGTGGTCTAAAGTGCTCCCAAAAGATGCATAAAGAAACGGACATTCGTGCTGGCACTGTAGGAGCGAGGGCGATTCTCGATGGACGGCGGGGAGAGACCTTCCGCTGGATTTGAGGAGACCGAGCTTCTGGCCTTGGCGTCGAGGAATGGCCAAAGTGGATGGAGGAGGCTGAGCTTCAGCCCGAACTGTCGTGCCTGTAGTGTTGGGGGGAAAGTGGTGCCTAATAATCGCGACCTTCAAACCAAAATAGCTAAATTTATAGCTAATCGTTTTGCATTAATCTAATATCGGCTAGGTGATGATGAATGCACAACAAAATTATCCAGACTCCAGCCGTACCCAATCAACGAAAAAAATGGGCTATTCTCGAGAAATGAGTTGATACCGGTGCATCCGGGTGCTGTGGGGTGTTGCAACCATCATCCACATCAGAAGAGAAATTCGAATAGTGAGACATCGAGCGGAGTCGGATTTGGTTTCCGAAATCTGGCTCGGGCTCGGCCTGGAACCACCCGCGTGCGGTTAGCGGATTTAGCACATGCTTTCGTTTTTCATTAGTTTTCGCGCAGCAAATTAGATGGATGCGAGCTTTTTCTTAAGTTATGACAAAGCGCAGACGCTATATTACTTGGTAAAAACTCTATCAAATTATAGCTAAAAATATTTAGTAAAATATGTCCTTTCTAGCTTTTAGAATCGAATTTTCAAACAGGTGCAGTAGTTTGGCAAGAAATTAGAAGCACCCCATTGTCAGAAAAATAAGAGTGAATAGTTATGCAGTGAAATTAAGTGATTTCGCACAACCAACCTCGACAAGCTGTTGATGATGCTCCCGAGTGCTGCCCTTGAACCGTCCGATCAGGTCGCGGGCCTTGTTGCTGATGTTCGATGCCGAGAGCTCTTTCTGCGTCTTACCAGCCGCCGTCTTCTCCATCACCGACTCCAGGCTGGAGGCCATCACTAAACATCAAAATTAGACGGCTTCAACTCTCTGACGACATCTCCGAAATCCACCGGGGGGCTCCGCTGCATTTGGCTAAGCAACGGCAAAAATTCTGGATGTCCCAGCAAGAAAATTGTGGATTTTACCATGAAACTATCCTTCTTTCTAGCAAAATTCGAAATTCCACAACAATCCCTGCACATAAAGCACGGCAAGCGGAGAGCGTGAATATGTGGGCCCGGATTTCAGATATATCGTCAATTTTTCATTTTAAAATGCATTAGTTCAGGGGAAATGTTTGGAGGAGGATAGCGCACGACATTCGGGCTAAAGGGCTCTTCCAAGAAGCATGGTTATAGACAGGTTATGACAGTTCAGAGAAAGCGGGAAATTGAAAGCTGGGCTGCTTTGAGGCAAGCTTGGCTTGTTTAGCTTCCTCCAGGCAATAGTGGGGGTTTCTCGAAAAACTTGCGCTCCGTTTTCGCTGTTTCGCCATTTTCGAGTAGGCTGCAAATAGGGAAGCGGGTTGAGTTTCATTTTTACTGGTCTTTTAGGTTGTTAAATTGGTCTTGCTTTAAAAACGGACACATCTAATTGTATATTTTAAATCGATCTAATACACATATTAATTTTTGTGAGCATTAAGCCGTGCTACATGAAAATTACCGGAAAAAGCATGCGTTTTGATGCGGACAGGATAGTATTGTAATTTTGAGTGAAGCGGAGTCCTCCGAAAGCCAGGTAAGATATATTGGTACGTGACGATACGGTAGACGATACAGGACTGGGCTTCCGGTGACAGACGGACAGTTTTGGGGGATGGATGGATGAGGCGAGGATCGTTTTTAGAATCGTTAAAATTTGCGAAATTCAATGCATCCGCGCCCCAACCCTTTGAAGATCGAGGGACCAGTATTTGACACTATCCTTACGATATCGGCATCCGTGCGGTGCCATTTTCGCCCTATAGACGAACATAATTTAATAGCTTTAATATATTGTGGCAATCGGGGGTTAGGGAATACGAAAACGGTGATTTTAAGAGTAACATTTAGATGTAGTTTTGTGCAAAACGTCGATGGAAATGGGCATGGGCTATCATTTTTTACTTAGCTTTTAGCTATACAAAAGCTTCAAACATAGAAGCTAAACTTTATTTTCAATGCCAAACACAAAAATCAGCTCCATGCCCAGTTCCGGGACGGGTGCACCGGTAGACAAAGACTCGCTGTGAGTGTAAAAATCAAAAACAATTTCCTTTTTCGAATGTTCTACGGATTTCTAATTCGACCATAACAATCCAATCTAGCCGAGAGAGGCGCATTCCGGACCCTCCGTTGGTTACGCCGAGAAAATGTCAAAGGAAAAACTTTTTACGGCAGCGTTACACTTTCCCCTCGGCTTACCAAATTGGAAAGGGCTTCGCGCTTGATAACGGCTTGTTTATGGGGGATTTTAAGGATGATGGGCCAAAATTTTCCGGGGTGTTACCTTGACGTTGAGCATAGTTGACGATGGTGAACTCGATCATGACGCCGAACACGAACCTTAATGCAAATTTAGTAAGACCAAAAAGGGGAAGACTTACATCATACAAGCGCCCATCCAAACGTCAATAGCTTTCATGTAAGACACCTGAAATTAAAGTTTTGAGTATGATTTTGAGAACATCACCTCCGGCAAAGCCAAGCGAGCCGCATTTGCTTGGGTTGAAAGTGTTAGCAAAGTTGTAATGGCCAACGAAACTCGTGCTGGCACCGCTTCGACGTTCAGCCAGAAGGAAAACCTAAAATATAACTATAAAACTAGCAAAACCCTGAAATAGACATAAGGATGCCGAGAAAGTGGCTGTCGGGACCATAAAACCCAGCTAATCTGCCTTATTTTCTCCCAAAAAGGCATAAAATAAGTCGAAACCCCTCGATCCTCCAAAACTTCAGAAGAAAATTACTTTATAAAGCTTTTTGGCTTATTTTAGGCAAAAACAAACCCAACACAAGCATTTGCAAGCAAAAAGCAAAAATCTGCCCCATGCCAGGCTCGAACTGGCGACCTCGGCATATCTTACATACCATAAGTACCACGCGCTAACCGACTGCGCCAATGGGGCAACGGGGAGAGGGCGCCGACTTGCCATGATATGACTACGATCAGAGTCGTGGGCACGTAGGACTGCATCAGGTGGTGAGTGATTTCATGTTGCACGGCAAATTCAGCGGTAACGTATGACCAGGTGCCTAAAAAAATAGTATATATTGGCATTGCTAGTTATAGGCCTAGTATTTTGACCACGTTTGAGGGCTCAAAAGCCTGTAAAATAACCCCAAATCGCTATTTTTTCGCCACGTTTTGAAGGAATATTTGCTTGGTTCGAATGCTCTAAATACAAGATTGAAAGTAATTTCAAAATCATATTGATTAGCTTAGAACTATGGGCTCTTTTTCTATTAGAAAACCTAGCGAAAAAGATAAGTTTGGCAGCCAAACTATCGATTTTGTTTCTTAAAGCGAAAAGGTACTAGAATAGGTCGCAAACGCTATTCAAAAGGGTTTGCAATAGTCGGTTAGAGTTATGCATCATATTATAGCAAAAGTACATTTATACATATGGTGAAAAGTTTATTAAAAAAGTTAATTTAAGAAATGTGCCTCGGGCCACGCCGAATTTTTGACGATTTAGTAAAGGCCGCTGAATATATTTCTGTATACCATC